CAACCCAGCCAGTGGCAGCGACGACTTCTTATCCACTGGTCAGAAAAAGAGGAGAGACGATGGAGGTAGAGAGAGATCAGAGGTGATAGAGGTGAAGAGATGAGAGATAAGTGAGGATAGGGCTCGTTGAAAAAAAGGTGAAGCAGTGTTAGTGAAACGCTGTGTTTCACTTATGGGCTGGTATTTTAACAAGGTTCTCTTATGGGCTTGGGCCCATATATAAATACATAAATTAATTGTGTTTTTGTTTCAACCCTCTGCTTTATAAGCATATATCATATGATTTTCACACACACACATATATATATATATAACATTTATTTATATTAATTTTGGTATAAATTTATAATTTGTAAAACAAAATAATTATTATTATAAAAAGAAAAAAAATAAAAAATGCCTAGGCGCCTCCCATACTTACTGTTTAATGCTTTTCTCTGTCACTGCACTCGTTAAGATTTTTTCATATACAGTATGAACTTCGTGAGTAATGGATTTTGTGTGAGGTCTATAAGCATAGGTGTTGTGTTGTGATGTATTTTAATACTTTAAGATGCCTGAAGTAAGAACAAGACATATCTTGGAACTTTTGTCTTTCTGAGGCGTACAAGTATGCATTCACAACACAACAATTAAACTGCAAGATGTCCTAAATCAAATATAGACTTTCTAACTCAAATTTATCTAATGGAAAAATAACATATAGAAACCATTATCTTAATATCCAGCAAGAAGAAAAGAAACAATACAAAAAACTGAAATCAGTCACCACCACCATTAAGCAAACATCTAGAATGAAATGTTCACGTTAAAAATCTAATGAAAACCCAAGTCATAACATCTAGTTGCTGGCTTTGAATCCATCATGATCAAATGCATAAAAAACAAAATTTGGTAACAATCAGTTCTAATTGTGATCACTTAGATAGAACATATAATGGGGATGGATTTGGTGGGACTAAATCCATCCTCATTAAACTTTGGCATTGAAAGTTTCATCCAAAAGAATGTCATGGTGGTATCCTAGCAACTTGACTAAATTTTTGTGATTTGTGCCGCCAATCACGCTCACTTCAGCCTTGAATTCGAAATCATTGTGATTTGTGCCGCCAATCACGCTCACTTCAGCCTTGAATACGAAATCATTCCAAAGGCGCGAAAGAGGAGAGACGATGATGGAGGTAGAGAGAGATGGGAAATACAATCCGAGTAACTGCTTCCACCTCTTTTAGCATGGTAACCATTTTCACAGCCTCTCTTTACAGAAGGGAGAAACACCCTTCAAATTTCCTAAGGCCTTGCAAAGTGCCATTTTCATAATCTTCCTGGTTGCCAAGAATTTCTTAACCTATCTCAACAATGTCCATGCCGTGTTCCCTACCTCCTCCAACTGTCCAACTCACCCATTTCTTTTAACATTTATGCAGTGAGCGAGTGCCATTGCCTTTCTTTGATACAAGAAATGTCTGTCACCATAATTTCTCACCTTCTGCCTTCTTTGTATATTGAATTTTGGGTGACAGATCTAAATGCCCAGTTAATTGAGTAGCTGAATGATTTCTAAGTTCAGCTCATCTAATGGATCGTCTTCCTCATTGTTGTCGAAAGGGAAACCAATAGCACTTCTCAAACCTATATATCAAGTCTGTCTGGCCAAACACTCATGGTGCTGATGAGTTATTGCCTAAAGCATATAGTAATACTCTAATTAGTTTAAAAATATTACATTGCAATTTTTGGGTATAGACCGAAAGAGTTTTTGTTTGTTGGGCCCACAAACGATACGTATAGCTTTATAACTCCTACCCACCAAAACGATACGTATAGCTTAATAACTCCTACCCAGCAAAACGATGCGTACAGCGTATTCCATTAGGTCATCTTCTTCGCGTTTACCACCTGGTGCTGCCCCCGCAAGCTCGTGGAGCAGATCCAGCCAAATCTTCTTCGCTTAGTTTACCACATGGTGCCGCCTAAAGCTCTCGGAAATGAAGGACTAGCCCAGGCGCCCAGACCTGCCCAGGCCACCCCTAGGAAAAACTAGTTGGCAGGAAATGGAAGGTGATGAATGATTCTGACA